ATCATCACTCCGTAACAACCGGTGTTCACCACACCAATCTCACTCCCAGTTGGTCGACAACCTGGGTGGAAATGAAATTGTAAGTGGCCCCACTATCAATCAGCACCACAACCTCCCTGTCCTCTATCTCTCCCTTCACCTTCATGGTGTGATTCGTGGTGAATCCCACCACTGAGTTCAGGGAAACCTCACCAGATCCAAGTGTAGCTTCTCCTCCATCTCCTCCTCACCTCCCTCAGTTTCCTCGTCATCACAGATGGTGAGAACCTGAAGAGTTTGATCCTTGCACCAATGCCCTGGCGTGTACCTTTCATCGCATCTAAAGCACAACCCCTTATCCCTCTTCTCCTATATCTCTTTCTCTGTCAGCCGCTTGAAATTTTCCTAGCTCCCTCCTGTTGTCTTCTCCTTGGTGGCCTCTCGTCTCCCTCCTGTTACAGGACCTTTAGGTGCTAGATGAGTGGTCGTCATCCTGTAAGTGCCCCCGGTGCTACTACTCCTGGCTCCCCTCTCCAAATTTCTTTGATTTTCCACCAATTGGGCCAACTTCATGGCCTCCCCAAGTCACGGGGCATCAAAACATTCACTACTGCTCGGATCTCTGCCTTCAACCCTTTCATGAAATTTCCCTCCAATACTGTATCTGAGAGACGCTCCACCCTGCTAACTAAGTGCTCAAACTGCTCCCGGTAATCTGCTACTAATCCCTCCTATGTCAAAGCAAATAACTGCTTATAGAAATCTCCTCCCCAATCGGTTGGAAATGCTCTATTATGTAGTCTTCGAAATCACGACAGGGCTTTCCCTTCCAAGCACAATCCCGCTGTTGTCAGCTTCTCCTCCTCTGTTAACCCATTGACGGCGAAGTACCGCTCTACCTTGTAAATCCACCCATATGCATCTTCTCCTTCAAATATGGATATTTTCAACTTCCTCACCTTCTGGTCTCCACCATTTCCCTCGATTCTTCCATATTTCCCCTCTCCCAAGTGGTAGGTGCGCCCCAGGTTTCCCGGTCTTCCCTTGCTCTACCATAGCCCCAACTCCCTTCGAAATCCCCCTTTCTTTCTTCACAATCAGCACCTCGATGGCCGTAGTATCTGTTGACTTATGTACAATACTCAAGAGAAAGAAAAAAAAAAAAACGAACTCATACCTTGACTGTCGGATCCTCAAAATCTGCCGGAATCGCGCCGATTCGGCGCCGTTTGCAATCAAATCCCGTAAATCCTGCGATGTTGCCTCGGTCGAGCGTCCACACCCGTCGTTAAATACACGACCGAACGAAACTCTTCGGCCGTTCGAAAATCCCACACGAAGCTCTCAACTCTCGTAGCTCCTTACACGACTCTTCTCTTCCATTCGTTGCTCTTCTCTCTCGGCCAAAAGCTCCGAACAACATCCCGCACTCAACTCCTCCCTCTGCTCTTCCGATCCAACTCCACTGCCGAAGCTCTCCACGCAAAAAACCCTCAGTCATCCCGTCAATCTAATCTCCCTGCCCAGGCCGAACCCAAACAAAGCCCTAGCCGCTCCTATTCGCAAGCCTTCCGATCCTTGCCCGATCATTCAGCCAGAGAGCGAGAGAGAGATAGAGAGAGAGGAAGGGAAACAGAGAGAGAGACATCTTACCTTGCCAAACCGACGCCTCTCTCCCATTGCCGCTCGGCTTAGCTCCATCTCCGACTTTCCCTTCCGGTCGGACTGGAGGTCACGACATTTTGATCGGAGAAACAACACGGGAGCTCACTAGTTGGGAAGGTAGCCTTCTCCCTTTCATGCGCTACTTCGGCCAAGTCCCGTAAATCTCTTACAACAGAGAAAAGGTAAGGTATTAATAATCTTAATTAACATTAATTAACGTTAATTTTAATTAAAATTAATGTTAATTAAATTTAATTATTATTATTGATTATAGATTAATATTAAGTAATTAATTTTAATTAGTTTTAATTAAAACTTATTTTGATTAATTATAATTAATTATTTAACTGTAATTATTAGGTTAATTATAATTATTATAATTAATTATGATTAATTTTAAGTAATTAATCATAATTAATCCTAATTAATTATGATTAATCTTAATTAAGGTTAATATTAATTAATTATAATTAATTATTATATTTTAAAATTAAAACTAATTAATACTAATTATTTATAATTAATTATTCTAATTAATTATAATAGCTTATAATTAATTATAAATAATTAAGAACCATTTTAATTTTATATTATAATTAATTGTGATTAGTCATAATTAATTATGGTTAATCATGATTAATTACAAAAAATAAAAATAAAATGCTTCCCCCACTCTCTTACCTCGACCAACGTGTCGAGTCGGTGGTCTGCCCATGCACGCCTTTATTGAGCGTGGTGGGAGGGGCAACCGGCGCGACACCTACGACGAGGTAGGCGAGTGACCCCTCGATCCACGTGTCAACCACTACAACCCCGCGGAGGTATGAACTTTT